AACAACGCCAATTGACGACAGTAGGCGGCGGTTGCTGCAGTCATTGAGTCGCTTCCGCGTGATGAGTCAGGTACAGGTAGCAGATTTCACTGCACGCGGTGATTGTAATTCATAAATCTGTCGGACGTATAACTGCGACGAATGTAGTAAAAGTCCTTTCAACCTTCCCCCTGTCCATCTGTTCTAGTCTCTTTGACCGCTCGCGCAAGTGTCTACGAAAGCTCCTGTTTCCCCCTCTCGGAATCCCAAAGTTCTGGAAAGTTCGTCTAATTTTACAAATCTAGTTGGTGATAGGTTGAAACTAAGTGCGCAGTGAAATTATTTTGTCTAATCGCTGAGAGCGTTTTGAAAGGAAATCCGGAGTGGAAAATTTCCGGTACTCTTGTTTCTCCGTCTCACACCGTGTTTACAAAAGACCTGTAGGTCTATCTGCGTCGCAAAAGTAGATCCGAGCGAATATAATTCTCGCTGATGGCTACTGGGTGGCGCCAGGGAGAGTCGAAGGGGGTGCATACGTCGTTTCTGAAAGGGCGTTTCGCAAAAGATAAGTAAACAGCGCAGTGGCCGACCCGAAGTAAGTTTTAGGTGGCCGGATATTCTCCTACATAAAGGAAGGGTCGCAGCTGCGCGTAGCGAATCGGAAGGAGGGGGTCGCGTGCTCATCGAAGGTTTTCTGCGCGAGAAAGAGAGCTCCTTGTGGCAGGCTACCATTGGAAAACTATTGAAATTAATATTCTTTAATTATAATGTATTCCGTAACGCCACAACATGTTACATTTAAAAAAAGATTATTTCATAAGCCATCCGATTTAGTATGGCGTTAATTTTGTCGTTGCATGTGAAAAGAGTTAATATTTTAGTATAAATGAAATATTTTCTTTACACGAGATTTGTTAAACAATTATCCGTTTTTTTCGAAAATCTGGCATCCAAGGACAAAACTGTTGTCATTCCTGGATTCAGAGCACTACAAAACTTAAGAATTAGTCTACTAAACCGAAAAATTTTAACAAAAAAATATTTTTGCAGTCTTCTGTAATAAAAACCTCCTCAAGAAAGTCCCAAATAAAATATAAATGCTCTCCGTGTGTATGAGCTAACATAGCTACCAGCAAACTACTCTGCTACCGCCTCTATGAACAATTATTGATTATCCATTACATTCCTCTCGTTTCTAGTAATTTTGGTATGAATTCTTATTATATCACCCACAAACTCTTCCGTGATGCTTTCACTGAAATAATGAGCTGAAAGCAATAGTGAGGTACTTCAGCAGTAGCTCGGAAACTCCTAGTATAATCTTAATGAAAGTTTTTATGTTAAATCTTAATAAAGGGAGTGGACCAAAATATATTTCACCCAAATGATTAAACTCTTGGAAACTTCAGTCCAGTAATACTTTGTATAATCAGCGATCTTCGTTCTCACAGGTATTGTAAACGCGACATTCAGTTCAGCAGACACAAGGAGTTTTACTCATTTTCGTCACAACCCTAATGTTAATCTCTCGCGAGGACCCAGCCGGTCCTCTTCGGATTTAAGGACTGTTCTTTTTACTTTCTCGCTCCCGCTTACGCAGTAGAGAGAAAGTTATGTCACGCATCGAGAAATACGAATTTTCGGCTGAAAAACTTATTGCCGTGCCCTCGTAAGAAAAAGTAGATAAATCCAGCTGCAAAATTAGGAAAAACCCTTTACTCGTGATGTAGCCAGAATCCATGTTTGTAGGTCCTTGAAACCGAAAAATCGATTGATGGCACGCCATCTGCCCTTTGCCAACGCTAGCGCCTGAACCGTTCTGAATGAACTCGTGGCTTTGGGAGTGTCCAACAGATATTTTGATTTTTGAGGGTACTTTACACGAAGCCTCAAAATTTTTTCTTAAAAACTGCACCAATTTTTTTATTAAATTTTGTTGAACAGTGCGAAGGACGTTTAAGAGAATGGTACAGATCTCATTTTCGTTCACTAGTCGATTTTTTGAATATTGCTAAATATAATTTTAAAATACAAAATGCAAGAAAGAATTTTTGCCTTGAAAATAAAGCACTTTGGAGGCATGTGGGAGGACATTAGCTCCTTAAACAGGGTGTTGCACAATTTTTTGGAAAAATAGTTTTTGCGTAATTTGCGCTTGGAATTTAATATTTTTTTCTGAAAAACCGCTCAAAATTTTTTCTTTAGATTTTCACCACGTATGTAACAAGAAACTGCACGAAATATGGTCCTACTCTTAATTTCAACTATAACTCTTGGTGTACCCACAATCTAGGTTTTGTTGGTTCTTGATACCAAAAAATCGTTTGACGGGAAAACGTCTGTTTCTCCGAATGCGGTCAACGCTTGAGCCTACACGATTCAGCTTATTTTCTTCAAAATTTATATTCTCCGATTGATCTGAACGGGCTGGAGACTTTGCAAATTTCTAACGTATATTTTGATTGAAGGTTTTTTTTCACAAGAATTGGGCATTTACCTTTTTATGTCTTTGCCCGAATTCGACACATGCGATGCTTGTGTGACTTAGTGGTATGAATGACAGCACGTTAACTCTGAGGTTTTGAGCTCGACACTGAGCGGAAAAATACTTAGCTACTCGAAAACACTTTCTGGTTTATGTAGCATTACAATGTTGCCGAGCATTTAGAAATAATGCGAGAAAGTATGTGCTTTGTTAGCACTATTAGTTCCTTTGAACTTTTGGGATGGATAGTGCTAAATGCACTCTTATAAGATGAACGCCATATTTCTCTATTTTGTTTTTCAAAATTACAAAGTTTGTTTTCTATCTTATCTCTCAGGGCGATAATATTTACATTAGCGGCAATTTGTTTACATTATTGTATTTATGAGCACCTGTACTGTAAATAATATCAAAGTTTCTCGAAAACTTAACAGTTTTCTGTGAAAATGATTTCAAGAATTCCGCATTTTCAGAAACGTTCAAACGTCATTTTTTTCAAAAAAGTGTCCAATTTTTTTTCTTTAAACTTTTCCAACGATAGTGCTAATTTCACTGTTGAATATAAGAAATTTTATTTTGGAGTATTGTTTGGTATTTTTCAAAAACTTCAATTTTTTTTCAATCTCGCTCACGCCGTTAATATCCACATTTTCAGCCATTTGTAAACCCTTTTGCATTTGCAAGTTAAAGTGCTTCAAATGACTCTAAATTAAGTTTTTCAAAAACATTTCTGTGAAAAACCTTCAAATTTACCATTTACAGCAACGATTAAATGACATTAAATGGCACCAAATTTTTAAATGAAAATTGTTCTTTAGGGCGAGATTTTACTCCTCTGAATTATTATTAAAGAAATATTTTGGTTCTACTATTACAAAATCTAAAAATTGAGAAAATGTCAAAAAAATGTACTTCGGTTGGCGGTAGAAGGCATCTGGCAAGAGGATGGGTCAAGATCGTAAGTCAGACCTCACAAACGAAATTTCAAAACTTTACTACGAGAAAGTCTGCCATTCTGTATTTCAACGTTTCTTTCTGAACGTCCTCTGACACTATCTGGTGACATTTTATCACTTTGGATACGGTACGTTGTAACACCCTCTGCGGCCAACGATTTACCCGGTTTTGAATTCTCTTAGCACAGTTGTGATGCACTCAACTGCATAAAATACTCTTCGGACAAGTACTAAAGCTTAGAACGTACTGCGGAGTTATATCAGGCGGTGCCAACAACGATTTTTGCTAGCATGAGAATTTCTCGTCAGGCATGTATTGTACAAGGTATTTCATTGTTTTGGTAAATGACACAATGATGGTTTATATATTAAATAGATATGACCCCTAGATGTGTTTTCATAATGTTACAATTTTCACTTTTTTTCATAATAACTAATCATTTAGATTCACTGTTTTCATTATTGGTTTAGTGTATTAACTAGAATTATTCGTATAACCAATTTGTAAAACATTTGTTATACGTTTCTAACAGTTCTTTGCTATGAATGGGCCCAGCATGACTAAATGAAACGTCAGTACAGAATTTTGTTAAAAGAAAAATACGTTGGAAGCGAAGTCTTGTAACTGAGTTCATAAGAACACAAGGCCATATATAGTTAATATATAATTATTCGTTTTTGTACATTTCCTGAACATTGTTTCGAAATGATACACTCTCACGAAGACCTAGTGGAAATGAAGACCAAGTAGTGCTGTCTACTTTCTCGTTTACATTACACTCGCTGACAACATACCGTAATAATATACAATTGCTATTAAACAAAAAAACGTGCTTTTTGTAGTTTCAAAATGTGCATGTTGGTGATGGTAGTTTTAAAATGTTAAGTTTCTCACGTTTGTTTGAAAACTTTCCTAGAAATTATATCAATAATTTTAACCATCTTGAATTATTTCTGGTAAACCCAATATTTAGTTGTATGCATGAAATAAAATTAATGAAGAGTGTGATTGCAATGAAACATTAAAATATCATTCTAATAATCTACAAGAATTAATATTCAGTAAAAAACGTATTGAAAGAATTATATACTATTCTCTAGAATATCCTCTTCACGAACTGGGTTACTGTCTTATTGGTTCTGTTCTAAGTTCAGATCTGAAACTTTCATGTTTTCAAAATAACACTTTCTTCACACCTTTGTTTGGCGTTCTTGGTATTTATTATCTATCATTTACAAGTAAATGCTAGGTCTTATGATCTAGCATTTATTTGTTAACGCGGTCTATTTTCATCAGTGATATGAAGTATTTTATTGTTTATCGATTTCATTTATGTATTTAGATTTATAAGTTTGTTTTTATATTGTGCTGATGCATGGTGAAGGGTGCATGTTCTAATGTGTACGGTTATGAAACTTCTAGATTATCATGCGATTATGCAAATATCGCAAATAAGGATAGTTTGTAGTATTATTCTTTCAAATGCTTTTCACCTGAATGTCATTTCCTTTAGATTACAATACAACATAATAAAAAAGACACGGGATATTGAGACAGAAGTATATATGAAATTGGTCACCTTTTAGGTTTGGGGCTTCCTCGCGACTCCCCTGTGTCCCTTCGGCAGGTGATTTAAAGATGAAGGTGGCGTTTGAAACGCCAGGATCGCTTGCAGGTGATTCATCCATTGGTTCTTTCTCAATGGTTGAGAGAGAATTCTGTGGTAGCTTCAGCATTTGCAACTCCCGGAGCTCTTTTGGCGTCTGGTGACCTTGCAGTGTCAGAGGTTCAGGAGAATTGCACGCTACCTGCAACCCTTGCTCTGCCGCAAAAGTTGCAGGAGGAGTGCAAGTCGCATGCTCCCGCGGTTCCTGCAGCTCTTGCTGCTCCCGCGGTTCCTGCAGCTCTTGCTGCTCCCGCGGTTCCTGCAGCTCTTGCTGCTCCTGCTGCAAGTGCTGCTCCCGCGGTTCCTGCAGCTCTTGCTGCTCCTGCTGCAAGTGCTGCTCCCGCGGTACCTGCAGCTCTTGCTGACCCTTCTCTTGGTGGTTCTTGTTCTCCAGCTGCGGCTGCAACTGTATCTGCATGTGGTCCTCCTGTGCCTGCTCTTCTCCCGCGACAGACATGGAGTGAGGCGAACCTTCGCCTCCACCTGAATAAAAATGAAATAAAAATAAAAATTCGTTATATATCTAATATTTAAGATTAATTTGAATTGTTTAAATTATATTGACTAAATTTATAAAAACAGACCTTTCATAAATTTGCACTTATTTTTAGTCATCAACAGTCTTTTAAAAAGATCGTGACAACTGTAATAATACAACAGACGTTACAGCCAGTTCTATTACAGTAAAACCTGCCTAAGACATAAGCGGTATAAGACGGACTCTTGTCATCCCGGACAAAAATCTCAGAACGGAACGATTTTATACGTGAAAATTACCCCCGTAAGCAGGAAACCTGTCCAGAGCGTTAACTGAGTGGATTTGGGAGAACGTGAAGTGATTATCTGGGTAAGAAGGCCGTTTTTTTAATTTCCTTAATTATCTTATGGAATGACATAGGGCAAAGGGACACGTACTGAGACAACAGAACGACGTGGTTCTCCTCTTATACCGTACGTGCGGTCGGGGAATCTTCAGCCAACTCTGCGACTGTGTCGCTGCGACTTTCACGCTTTGGAGTAATTTTTGTGACTTTGTTGAGCCTTCGAACAATCATGTTGGTCGTCCGCATGCCGTTCAATTATCAAAATCTATCAAAGCCTCACCACGTTCCATTCAATGGAATTCCGGTAACACTTGCCGTTCTATCATAGCATATTGTACACACTAAGTTTATTAGTAAAATACGGAATAAATGCATATCGTATTTCCCCTGCGTTTGGTAGTTGATATTTTTTTTATTTCCGGCATTGATAAATTATGCTTTATTTTCATTACTTTGTTCCACTAATAATAGTTGTTTATTCCTTTAGTTTGTAATGTAGAGTTTTTATTGCACGAGTTCACGTCTTCAAAACGAGCGACAGTAGGAGCGAAAATAGCATGCACTATTTTTTTGTATATATGTGCTATATGTTTGTTTTGTATTGTTGCTATATAAATTTATAAGAGTAATTTACCTTACTAGAAACAACTTTCTAGTGACGTCTCGGGTATTTGTCATCTGTGCGAGAATACGGTATTCGGCTGTTCCCTTTACCTCTACCTTCCCACGATTCTCTCGAAGCGATTCGCTGAATGTGAGATGACAATCATTCGTGCCGTAAAATAATAATACGTCATTCGTGCCGTAAAATGCCCTTTTATGAACACGTTTTTGCAACTGGCTGATCGTTTAAAATGCTGCTATACAAAAAACGTATATTGAAAATTCAGTACTAAAGTTATATGTTGAATTTTTTGGTAACGCTCTGTAAGACGCAGATCTGCCAATATGTATTTTTTAAGGAATCGTTTAAATTTTACTGTGTATAATTGTATCTATTATTATTATTATTATTATTATTATCCTCATCATCATCATCATCAGTATTATCTTGATCAGTCATGGCTCCCGACATGTGTGGCAGTGTAGTATATTTAGGTGTCTGAATCATGGTAGAGTTGGAAATGATCGCGCACTGTCAGTTTGCGGGTTTTCAGGATACTGCTCGAGCATTCTACTTTCAGAGCAACCGAGCCGCTAGAACGGGCCTGCAGATATTGCCTGATTTCGACACCGGCTAGATAGCTACTATGTGGGAAATTCTTCCGCGGTCAGGAGTGGAGACCTAGTCAAGTGGCAGCGGTTGGCTTCTTTGTACTCACTGCGCGACTGTAGGCGGCTTTCGCCCTCATCCGCCGCGATCAGCGCCTGCGCCAACTTCTCCAAGGCGCCCAGGGTGGGCGGGGTGGGCGGCGAGGGCGGCGGCGGCGGCGGCGGCGGCGTCTGGGCAGCACGCAGCAGGTGTCGGGGCGGGGGCGGGGCCAACGGCGTGGACGAGAACAAGGGCGGCGACGTAGGACCCTCCGCCCTCTGGGGCGACGCAGCAAGTGGCTCCCCGGCCTCCGCCGCGGCCGCCGCCAGCGCCTCCGCCAGCGCCACCAGCGGGCTCTCCGCCTCCACCTCCGCCTCCGTCCGGCACTCTTCCTCGCCAGCTGCCGCCGGTGTGGGGGCCACAGGCCCGGACAGACCTGCGACAGTCCACGCCCGCTGAAGACCCTTAATCACAAGACGCTTTTGCTCACCGTGGAGCTCTGCATCTTACACGATACGATCCCGCTTTAAGCCTGTGCGCGACCTCGAACGGTACGATTGAGTGCAGTGGAAAACACCAGAATTTCCACAGGTAATATCACTAGTTCTTTGGAACCTTTCGATAAATTTCCCTCACTCTCGCGAAGCGAGAAGGGAGAATTTTCAAGATGTATTTAATAGGACTGTTAGGGCTGTAACTGACTGAAGCATGCTTAAGTCAAAGGGTTATATTGTAGTACATACGCGGTTTATTGCACATTAACACAGCAATCGATACATGCGCCTCCCTAAAATCAGTCACTCCTTATTACTAGCCAGTATGGAGGGGCGGTAAGAAAAATCGGATAGAAAAAGATTTTTTTTTTTGAGATACAAAATGACCCAATTAAGGCGGTGTATGTGTAGCTAAACACACTTGGTTTTAATTACACGAGTGAAATAGACTGATATGTGATTAGTATCGTGCGTAATTACGTAATCTAAATAATCAAGTAATAACAATTAAGTAATTTGCTTCTAACTGAGACGTCAATGATTGTTAACTATTCCCGTCTAGAGTCCCTACAGAGATATAGTCCCTAGATCTGGATCTATGGACTACTCCTGACATTAAATAAACAATTCATACACGAGAGTACTCCATGCTCCATGCAGATTGGAGATATTTCCATTTTCGTGGTCTTGGAACGAACCTTCTGCAAAATACTAATAACGCTTAAAACTGTACAGGTCAGGCGATTGCCTAACGTACTACACAAATTTTTACGCATCTGTGCAAATCTTTGCTAGTGTAAAGATTTTCTTTTCAAACTAAGCGATACTGATATTTGTAATGCTTCAATTTAGATCAGCAAATGGTGCAATACGTTTGACTTTCAGAAATTTTCTATATTTATATATTCAGTCGGTGCTCTATACGTGGAATCTGGTTGTTTCTTCTATAATATTTCATACATAGAATTACGAAATTTGTTCTACTGCTTTTAAACAGTTTTGGAAAATTAGGTAATGAAAAATTTAAAAATAAATTATTAACAAATAATGTATTCATTTGAACCAGGTGTTTATGAATAGTAACATGAGATTAGTATTCCACAGCATCTCAAAAAATAACTGATTTGAAGTTTTTTAAACAAAGCTATACTGTGAAAAAATTCGGGTAAAATGGCGGCACTTATGATGAACTCAGTTTAAATGCTATTCACTATTGTTAACCCACTGATACTCTTCATTTGAAACGTTTTGTCTCAATCAAAAACGCTGCCGCAGAAGAAGAGAGTTGATTACAATGTTCATCAATATACTTATTTCTCCACAACTTTTTATTCAAAAACATCTGCTTTTATAAAACAATTTTAATTGCTTCTTCTAGATAGTTTTGCGAAACCATTGCCAGTTCTGAGACGCATATTCTAAGTTTAAAGATTGTAATAATAGATTGGTCGTTTTCTAGCGCGATTTATAGGATGTACTGTATATTTTTATTTCAAAAAGAGTTCGATAGATAGAAATAATTTTCGATGTATAGAAACTTGTTTAAACGTAAGTTTCAAGGAACAAAAATTTTCATATATAGATAATTTTGATATATACATTCGACATATGGAGGTCCGACTGTCATGGTGGTAACCAATTACTGTAGGATCACACGAGTCACAGGTACACACGCGTTTACACACACTCATCAAAATCACGTTTCCACATTCAATTTTAAAATAAATAAAATATAGAATAAAACAAACGTTGCTCATTTATTTTCTGGGAAGACATTATGGCAGTTCTAATTTTAAATTTCCGAACGTCACTTCAACCGAAAACATCTTACTGATACTATAATAAAATACTACTTAGTATTAATGTAAATCACTATAACATATTCTTTAGAATGAAGTGACACTGTAGCACTGTTTTATGTTGCGGCAAAAATTACTCGTTTTTTACATTTATTACATTAACGGTTGTAATAAGTTTTACTACGGTTGTTTAAATTAATTACGCCGCCTGGCTAAAGTCATCAACTTTCAAATGACTAGAGTGGGCGCATAGCGAGTGATCTACGGAGCTAGGAGGAGCTGCATAGAAGACGGGGGGCGGTCACTCACCCGCGGCGTCAAGGAGGATGCGGGCGTAGTCTGCCTCGCAACAGACGATGGGCAGCAGCCACTGCTTCAGGCGCACTGACCGCATGCGAATCGCCATCTGCATGGGGAGAGAGGAAACAGTCCACAGACGACTGGGGTTTTTATAAAAGTCAAAAGGCACCAATCCCCCCAAAGGCACCAATCCCCCCAAAGGCACCAATCCCCCCAAAGGCACCAATCCCCCCAAAGGCTTAAATATCAAAAAGCACGGAGAATGGCATGAAAAGATTGAAGGTGTAGAAAAAAATTTCGTGCGATGAGCCTCCAGGGTAACCACAATACGCTCTTATTTCATTGGTGGCATGAACTGCCTTATCAGACAGTTTACACCATACTGAACGCAAACTCCTATGCATATATGAATAGAACTGAAATCAACCTGTTTATTTAACTCACGTCTCTATTGTCGCAATCGGCAAACTTCACGGCCATAATGCACGGCGCCCAATGGGATGTCACACACGCCAAAACGCCATTCTCCATGAAGTAGCGCCGAACTTCATACTCCAATGTCTCGAATCGAATGCTGCATCAGAATTTTACGTAGAATACGCGTTATTACGATCGGAAAACAATGATAATTGCAATATTTATTTCAATACTTTACGTTGAAGTACGAGTATATACTTTGAAAAACTCTTAAGAAAAACTTATACAAAGAATTTTAAATTATGACCAACCACAATGAAATCTGCCAAATTTTTCTCAGAAAACTTTATTCACTTGTGTTTCGAAGTTTTGGAGACTGTTCTTCCTCCCTCATCAGGTACAACTGAAAAAATACAATTTTCAAGATGTTTCAATTTTAATTCAAAATTAAGTTTATGTAATGATGATGTGGGGGGAAGACAAGAAAACAAAATTAATAAAAACAATTTTCAGTTATACCTGTTGGAGACAGAAGTCTCCGAAAGTTTGTTACACAAGTGAATAAAATTATTATCTGAAACTTTTTGGCAGTTTTCATTGTGGTGGTCCATTATTTAAAATAAGGGCCTAAACAACAATTAAGTAGAATTAAATTGTGACAACCAATTTAAAAACTTATTCTAAAGAAATTCTATCAATATATGTTATTTTCCAAGATGCGTAATATTCAAAACACAACTTTGCCGAAAAGTACAACATGTAGTACTGCACAAGTTACTGACTTACTTTCCTTTTTTATTTTACTACATTTCCCATCGTTACACATTTCGGCTGCAGTTCACAGTTTCAAAGCATGCATGAGGGAGTTAAGCAGTGATTTCTTAATCTTACCTTTCAGGCAAATGAGAAATCAACACAGCTGGAGAAACATGGCTTGGAACAACTTTGAGGTGGTGTCCTCCGACACGTATCGAAGGTTCTTTAATCACCATCTGTCAAGACAATGAATAGTTCATTTTGCGCTGCAGATATATTCCTAAGAATTGCCGACAAAACTGAATTTGGAAACAAGTTTTATAAAAATTAAGTACTCTGAAAATTAGAAAAATTAATAATTGTAATACGTCTCCAAGGCTGTGTTTCAAATAAAATATGTTCTCTGAACCGTTCATCGTTTACTATGAGTCATTTTTCAGAATATCGGTGCAAATTTACACACTTTTTGGCACATAGACAGAGTCCCTGTCAGTTCTAAAATCTTAATGGTTTTTTGTTCAGTAGAAATCATGAACAGACTACTTTCACGTTGGTGAAAGGAGCGTAGTGAAATTTGCGTGGTCAGACGGAAGAGCGGGCCTGATGGCCCGAGTCTCGCCACGTAAAATAAGGCAAATTCAATTCAATTCAATTCACTTTAAGAGTACTCGCCTCCCAACCATCCTTCGTCTCCATTGTGACTGCCCATCGTCCACGATTTAGTTCAGACACGCGGAGCACTGGTCCATACCGTGAGAAGGTGTCTTCAATGTCTTTGTAAGTAACTCTGCAAAAGAACACAAGAACTCATTATCAATTTAAGAAACTTGCTAACAAAATTATCTTGTTGGAACGAAAAATATAGTTGCGATTGACATCTATTGTATGTCCGAGAGGAAATAGAAGGTAAGAAGGAGATACAGTAAGGAGTACAAGGTATTGAGTAAGGAGGTTACGGGGATAGAAAAAGTTATTGCCCTGTTAAACAAGTTTATACAATGTCTGTCTGTCCAGTCAATTGTTTACTCGTTAACTCTGAAAAATTCATTAATGTCTTTAGTTTCGAACACTAAAGTCAAGTAATAAAAAAGGATCATTACGATTTTCGGAAACACATACATTCCCAAATGTACCCTCTGATGAACATATACATACCCCAAAAATGAAGAACTGACTTTGAACTTGAATCGACTTCGAGTCAAAGCCCAGGAACAGCATAGCACATCCATTTTTGAATTGTTTACCCATAAAGGCCCCAAAGCTTGAGCTGCCTAAAAGTTATGGAAAAGTTTGTAATCCTAAGGAATTGAATTGCTCATTAAGTCAGTACCTTACCCTAGAATTTATGAAATTATTTTTGTTTTATTATTATATAACCATATTTTTTCTTCAATAACGGAAATCTAAAATACTTAAGAGTTTCAATTCTTTTGCATTTTTTACTCTAACGCCAAATCCTATTACAACTGATGGCTTGAGTCGGTAACAAAATAAGCCACATTAGTCACAACAAGCCTCCTACGATCCTTAATGTCAATATATCAATTTTGATGGATCAGATTATAGCATACAACACTGGTATGTTTGCTGTGGCTGATGTAACTTATTTTATGAGTGCCTCAAGTCCATCATCTCACTTTAGAGAAAAATTGTCATATTATAAAATATCAAATGTGAAGAAATTTTAAAAAACTCCTCACAATTACGATTTAAACGATACCGACTGCTGCAAAATAATGCATTTTCCTTGATACGTAGTAATTTAAAACTAACAAATATCAGAGTTTTTGTAATTATTGTACTTGAATTTTTGTACCAAAGATGTCTTTTAATGTCTTTCTTTATATTAATAAAGAATATTAACGTTAGCTGCATTCTTACCTGTCGATCATCACATGTGGCGAAATATACTCTTACAAATAACCGGAAGCAATTGCCAACGGTTAAAGAAGTCGCCATGATGTTCTGTGAACGGTAGTGGTTGATCACAAAATTCCTCAAATCAATTATGTCGATCCTGCAAACGATACGAAATGTTACTTATTTTTAATATTTTCGGAGAGCGGGGGAAGAATAACTTTTCACTGTAATCATTATATGAGTAGTCATTACCAACAATATTGTTTTTTACAATAGCAGCTTTCGATGGCTTGGCCATCATCAGTTTTCTGCTGTATGGAAGCCACAAAAACGACTACCGTACGTCGCTTCCACACAGCAGAAAACTGACGAGGGCTAAGCCATCGAAAACTGCTATTGTAATAATATTTTTGGCAATGACGACTATTTCATTGTAAATGACAACGAAAAGTCACCACAATACCAATATTAGTTTTCACTATCTATCTACTACTATAAATCTACACTATAAATCTAATAATTGAATGATTAATAAGTTTAAAAAAAAGTGCAATGTCTCCGGCTACCATAGATAACAGTGACAGAAAATTAAAAATATTTCGAATGTTCACTTAAAGCCCTGAATTGAGATTAGCAGGCAATACAACAATAAGCATTCTCACGATACTGAATTAAAACTATTTTTTTGAAACTAATTTTTTCTTCTATTAGAGAAAACAGCTTCCAAAGATTCTTTGGTACTGTTTTAAATTAATCACATTATATGCTTAAACGATAACATTAATGAAATCCCAAATTGTCAGAGAGCAAGGAACCAACATTTTCTTCGTTTTAAAATAGGTCTAACAATGTGTTGACGACATTTCTGAGTTCCTTCACAAAAACCGACAGATGGTAGATGAATAAACTCAATTACCTATAACAGCGAGGAAAGGCAGTCATCATTGATACACTATCATTACACTCAAACTTCGTAAAGAGTATGAAGTACATTGCAAGAGGAATTGGGAACGAGTTATTATCTTTCTGGGAGTGTATTAATGCCTATTACATCGAATCAAATCATTCATTTTCTGTAAGTAACAACTAGGTTTAACATTACTATTTACCATTACATTAGTTGTCAGTTTAAAGCTACATAAAAGTTAATTTTTATGCCTGTCCTCGTATTTTTGATTTGGCGATGTAGATTCCAAGTTTGATTCAGTTCCGTTCATCATTTTAACATTTTGTTCTATATGAGCTTTTTACCCTCACTTGCTCAAGGGGTCTACGATTCGAAACGAAAGAACCAATTCTCTTTGCGGAGAACATTGCTTCCTTACAATATTCTTTGCAATAAACAGTAAATAGTACAATATAAGATGTTCCAAATTGTTTTCGTAATAATAGTAAAAGAAGAGACAAAACTGTTTTAATGTAGTTTTTAATTTCAAATAAAGAATTGTATAATCCGTTTAAAAGTTTTGAAGGACAATATTGGTGTTAAGGTAACAAAATTTTCGGCTATCTGAATTCAGTCAAACTTGTTTATTCCAGACACATGAGGATCACATCCTGTGGCTATAATACACTTTTTCTCATAGTATGTCACAAAGTTGTACACTGTTTTGACGTTAAATATTTAAATAGAACAAAATATTTTTTGCTAATGGTGGCCAATGATTATCTAAATGCTATATTCATAGCCTTCACTGTTGGTCAGCTGTACAGTAATTATGCCGAATCATAGTGGCTATGATGTAATGAGCGGGAGCCATCTCAAATGAGCGTAGAAAATCAATTCTATGGAACATTCTCCCTATAGTCCAGTCAATTGGGGGCACAAAAGGTGCCAATCCAGGAAAAAAATTCTCATTGGACCCTCTTTTCTCTCAACAGTACATGTTTTTGAGAATACTGAATGTGAATTTGCTTTTTGCAACCTCAAAAACGGTCGACTTCCCATGAAAAAAATCGTAAAAACACTAAAAATGTCAACCGGTTTTTAGTTTTTCGCTTACTTTTTCAAAACCATGCTTTTTAACGATGTGTTCACAGTGATTCGTTATCAAGAATGGTAAGGTAAAACTAGTGCGTCGCCGCAAGATAGGATGGCTGGAAAGAGCTCTTCGTCCGCTTTTTTTTTTAGAGACCCAAAATGTAAGTTTTAGTGCCTAAATATTTTCTTAGAAAATTTAAGAATATTGTAAATAACAATAGTTTTGCTATATCGTTTTAGATATGAGTGAAAAGCTAAAAGCAGGGAACAATTTTTAGAGCTTTTTGAGATTTCCTCCGAAGCAGACCTTTTTTGAGGGGTCAAACAAATTCCAATTTAGCACACTCAAAAACGTAGAACCGTTGAGGGGAAAAAAATATTCAAAAATTTGTTCATGGATCAGACCTCTTGACTGAACTACTAGCATCGCATCAAGCATCGAAAACGTTGGGGCAGCTAAATACTCTAAGTTGGGAGAGCAATTAGTAGAAGCTGCAACGAAACATCGCCTCTTCTATCAGTAATTTTTTGTCAGACAAGAGTGTTCTGGAAAAGAGACGACACACAATTGACAAAGTGTTATTTGGAGAAAAAATTAACAAGATTTGAAAATATTGTCAGTTACTTCTGTCCAAACGAAATTAAACCTTTCTTTACGAATTTCGACGTTTTTACTTCATGTTACAACTGCATCCAGTAGCTGGCACACACTGAATCGAACCTTGAAGGCGTTCAAAACGTTTTTACTAAAATTCTGCATTAGCTTGTGATGACAATGCGAGCTCGTGGTCGTCTACATGGTCGTCTACACGAACCGGAGCTGCCCAGGAGCTGATGCGATCTTTAAGTGATGCTCCGAACTAACTGGAAGCAGCTGACAATCTACGTCAAGGAACTTTGTACGAAAGAAATGAGTATTTAGTCAACAGAGAAGAAATTCGCGATGTCTTTCTGAGAAAAATTATGGCTCTGAAGATCTTCGAAGCGCCAAGTTTGAAATGAATAGTCCTTTCCTCTGCGCCTTCAAAGAACATCACGAACGCCCTATTAAAAAACATGGCGCCAAATTTGAAGCAAATGTGCCAACACACTTTGGTGTGGGAGCACTCACCCGCGGGGCAGCGGCTTCAGCACCAGATGGGAGTCCATGGGGGCGCTGCGCACGGCCAACTCGCACGCGCCAACGCGCGCCGACCGCAGCGCCAGCGCCGCCTGCGCATGCGCGGAACGCACGCGCTCAATGGCAGGAACAATAATCGGGGGGCGACGCGTTTGTCACAAGCTTGGCTTGAACTGCGAGTGTTTGTGAAGTCGTGAAAAACGGAATTTATTTACAAGTAAAAAAAGCAAGTTATGGGAAACTTGCTTCCGTTTGATCTTGGCTGTCCGGGACGAGCCCCGTTTTGTGCCGTGGTGGCCAATGGTTTGGCCAACTCGTTAGAGACCAAGTGTACTGCTGAGAAAGGCTGCAATACGTTGGCCAACAAATTAGAGCTAGATAATACTGCTGAGCACGGCTACGATACGTTGGCCAACGCGTTAGATCTAGAGCGTACTGTCGAGCAAGGCTACAATACATTGGCCAACACGTTGGCGCCAGAGCGTACTGTCGAGCAAGGATTTCAATATGTTGGCCGAAACGTCAGCTACCAAGACACAGACGCGGCTTGTTCTGGACTGCCAAGATCATACAAACTTCGGCAACGGAATTTATACGCAATCAAGTTTCAACGGGGATGGGACGGGACCGGGCGAGACGGGACGGGACCGGGCGAGACGGGACGGGACCGGGCGAGACGGACGGACCCGGGGGGACGGGACGGCAGACCGGGCGGGGACGGACGGGACGGCGGACGGGACGGGACGGGCGGGAAAACGGAGACGGGACCGGGCGGGACGGACCAGAGACGGGCGGGACAGGGACGTGGACCGGGCGGGACGGAGACGAGACCGGGCGGAGAGAGGACGGGACCGGGCGGGACGCGCGCGCCATGTCGCACCTCCCAGGAGGCGCGGTCGGCCAAGGTGACGAAGAAAACGCCGTGCGGCGCGCGCGTGACGGCCTCGACGGAGCCGCACGCCTGGAAGGCGGCGGCGAGGGCCTGCGGCTGCAGGGCGGCCACCTCGGCCACCGCGGCCTGGCGCCCACGCGCGCACCCCTCCGCCGCCTCCACGCGCAGCATCCACGGCCCCCGCGGCGCCCGCGCCATCGCTGCCTCGTGCTGCTCCTGCGCCTCCGCCGCTGCGCGCGCCACCTGCGACAGCGCTGCGCCGAACACGCGCCCACCGATCACCTTCCACCCTTTGTGGACTGCAGACACACCGACGAATTGCAATACTGATCTATTTTCATGTCGGTCAATATTATTTTCTCTTTTAACTTGCCGTTGCGTTCATTTTCTATCGACTTTCTTCTTGTGTTCCTTGCCTCTATCGTTGTAAGGGAAGAGGAGTGTTGGCATACTAGAGATGCGAGTGACATCGATGTCTGTTTCCCAAACAGCGATGTTTTGGAACATTGTGTTTTTATAACCGCATTAGTAACCATTAATATATACTTAGAGGAATAGTTTAATGTAGGTCGTGTTTATTAATTTTTATTTGAGATCTAAGTGACAAAATAGTATAAAATGTCTTATCTGAATGGATAATTCAGTAATAATGTAGACTTCATTTATCGGAGAAACCTCTATTTTAATATTTTGTTTTCCCCTTGGTCAGTTCGATCTGAAGAGTGTCCAAATTATGGTTCTCAATAAATCGCTTTATTATGATATTTTTAGTTAAATCTTTTTGAACAATTATCCACTTATTAACAGAAGTTTAAAAATCGACATCTTCAAAAATGTCAATGTTAATAGTTCGATGATTTTACAAAACACTGATTTTAAATCGGACGATGTCTCTTAATGCGAGTACGACCATGTCTAGTACGCTTACAACCCTTCTCTTAATGCGAGTACGATAGAAAGAATATACGAAGAAAGTTAATAGAAAATGAAAGGAACGAAATTATTTTGGGTTGAGATAGTTTGCCTCTATTTAGGGTTGAGATAGAACTATTTTGTTCATTGGCAGCATTGCAATATAAAAATTAAGTTACTTCTCAATCTAATTTTAGGTTCAGAAAGAATTTGGTATGTACACTTGAACATCTGATACTGACTACTTTTATATAAATTAACATATTTTGTTTATCTCCTGGAACAAGTTAACCCAAAATCATGATTAAAAATTACACTTTCTTAAAAAGCTTACCGAAATCATTCCCTTTGCAGAAGAAACATCCTTCCGGTACATTGCATAAGCATTGCGAATTCATGACCAAATTCGCCTCTAGATTTTCTTCAGTTGACTCAGCAGTTCTACATGGCCTCCCGTTGTCTTTGCGTATTTCTTCCACCACAAATTTTATTACATCTCTTCTTGTTATTTCAGATGACTTTTCGATTTGTTCATTGCGAGGTGAGGTATCCTGTTTTAGGCGATTCAATGTTAATGAAAATATTTGTACAAAATCTGGGAGAATATTTTACATAAAATTAGCCAATAAATCTACAATACGGTTACAACTAGAATTGTTTAGCAATGTTTTTACGACAATACGCCTACTTTGCTTTGAATTTGTTGATTGTTAAAGCAAATGTTAATCATATTCGTATTAGGACATATATGACTTGGCTTTTTCAAACTTTTCTGGCATTAAAATGACAACTACTTGCAAGTGTTGAAATTAATGGTTTATCACAACAAAATACTCAGAAAATCATTGAATCCAATGGCATTTCCATTCTCTATCTACGGTAGCAAAACATCGCGGTGCATTATGACTGGAGAAAGTTACTAGGTTTTTTCCATTACATCCATTAGTGTTGGTCGTCAGTGCGGCGCTGCGTCAGCCCCCATTTCTGAGCTGTGCTTCTCACGACTAAACAGACGAACGGTCCTCGATCCGTAGCAAGTCCCACCTTCCGCTGCGGGCCACATTTTTTCCTTGGATCGGAGAATTTCACAGGAAATCGGGAATTAACTTTTAACTGCCGGGGCTGACGGAGATCATCACACGACCCTGGTTTGAAGTTATTTAATGTTCTTCTCCTCCATCACATTCCAATTCGAAATTTACAAACGGGAGATGTGGCTCAGGGCTTCGACTGATGTCATTGCAGTGCCTCTGACCGAGAGGTACTAGATGCGAGTTTGATGGAGGCAGGGTTTTCTATACTAGCTAGTCAGTTAAGTCAAGTTCAGTAGTTGTCTGGAGATGATTTTTAGTGGCAGTCTCCTCTGATCAGTAGATTCCCGTGGTTTCTTTGATCAATACCTGGAGAATGCTAGAGCAATTCCCTAACAAACGGACCACGGACAGCGCACGATCTTTCCTTCCTCCTCCTTCCTCTAAACTTACCCCTTTCGTACACACACAAAATCATACACACACACACACACACACACACTTACATGAACTATTACACACGTCGGGAGCTTGTCCCGACTGGGGCAGTGCCCCGCTGGTGCGTGATACGTGGTTGGGGACGTCTATAACGCCTGTCAGCGAGACGTCATATGTATCTCCCGAAATTGCTAGCGTACCGACCACCATCAAATACATGATAGTATTCCGTCACATACCCCGGTTGAGACGGGGAGAATAATGTAAATGAAAGTTGTGAGAATTTAAGGAAGTCTCCCACCAGACCGATTTACGAGCAAGGTGCAAGTTGTCGTGGTCACTAAAAAAACGAATTTTGTCTGACAAGCGTGCCGAGAGAGAACTCCAATAAACTTCTACGGACGGGAGACAGGCACAGCCACAAGCCGCCACCACATTGGCGCCATTCCGAAGCCGGTCCAGTCGCTGGTGTGAAAACCGTAATCCCATTGCCCTCTGTCGAAAAGGCAACCGCCGCAAGGTTCGAGAACAACTACAATGTCGGAAGGCATCCAACTGTAAGCCTCCCACATTTATCGCAGCCAAGATATATCAATAAGGTTTTCTCATCAGGGAACCTATTTTCTTGGGCACTACATTGTCTTCGGATAAACCGCAGAAACCTTCAAACTTTCCATCACTATCCCAGACTACCCCTGCCTCCATCGATACCCCGAGTGTTGCTTCTAAGGTAAAGTATCAATATTTACTACGCAACAACCGAAAGCTTTCAAAAGTTTGTTTTAGGCATGTTTTACGTGACAAAATTAATTTACGTACAAATAAACAGAATACGTATGTCTTCTTTTACCACTCAAGTTCGAATTCCTCAGTGCTATTTGCAATTACTGTAAAAGTTTTCAGAATTTTAAAAGATATTTCACGATTTAAAACGATTACGGGCAACAAAAAAATGTATACACATATTCGTATTAAAATTCTTGATGTGTATTTCATCCGTCTGAAAATTTAGTGAACAGACGAACAAAATTAAATATGCTCCAGTCAAGTTGAAACCTTTTGCATGGGAGGGATGTAACATCTGTTTACGGCAAAGAAATATATTTATTTTTATTTAATTAGCAATACTTATCTCCCCAGTTGACAGACACACGAAAACGCGCGAAGAAAGTACATTCGCCAACGACAGACATTCGCCGCACCCTTCCTGCTCTTTAATACTCTGAAGAGTACGGAAATTTGAAGTTTGTTGTCGCCAATACCCAGCTACGGTCGTTAATCCCAAAGTGTAGTGCATGTTTATCACTGGCAGTGAGGGTGATCTTACCCCGTTGGATGGCGAGATCCGGAGCTAACCTACACGTCAGCTTGCAGAGTTTTCTCCAACCAGGTAACTCCCATCTGCAGAGCGCCGCCCCAGCGTAGACAAGCTCCAAGCTTCCGACATGTATGGTAGTGTGTTGCATGTATGTAAGTGTAAGTAAGCGTAAGATAGAACAAGAAACAGGAAGGAAAGATCGCGATTCGTAACCCGTTTGTTAGTCTACTGCTCCGGTATTCGCCTGGTGTTGATCAAAGACAGCCCGGAAAACTCCCGATCAGAGCAGCCGGCCGCTGGAATTCTCATCCAGACAGCGGCTGAATTGAATTGAATTGAAGCCTTATTTTACGTGGCGAGACTCGGGCAAATTTCGCTCGCTCTTCCATCTGACCACGCAAATTTCGCTACGCTACCTAGTTGTTTCACCAACTAGCGGAGAAAGGAGGTATTTCTTGGGCGAGAAACAGGCGATTTGAATTTAGCTCAGAGGCGTCTTTTAGGCTTGATCTTTTACATGCAAGTAAATCTACAAATATGGGACAGCCGGCTTTACTTCCCCTCCGAAGGAAGGCGTACGAAGGACTTTTTCACCCTTAAAAATCCACGGCCTCGATCGGGTTTGAACTCGCTAACTTGGGTATACCAGTCCGATACGCTAACCGTTACACCATCGCCGCCAATTCGACCTAGCTAGCTAGTGTCGAATATCCTGCCATCGTCGGGGACTCCTAACCTGCAGTGACTCAACCACCTAGGCCCGCTCGCGCAAACAAATCGCTACAACTAAAATCACGTAATAATAAAAAAACGTATTTCACAAAAATAATTGTGGTTCGAATTCTCACACACTCGTAAGCGTAACGACACAATATCACTTCAAGGATAGACCCACCGAGAACTGCCTGCGGTCCCACTCAAAACATTCTGAAAGAAATATACTTCCAACTGGCCACACAAAATGCAGTATTCAAACAAAATGCAATAAACAAATCACACAAAATAAATTTACCAAACATCCTAAATGATTCAGTCAATGCCAATGCAGTACAATATAAACACTAACGTGTACACCAACAACACACACAGTTTACAGGGATATTGGTGACCTCTGCCGGTCCCTGCTTCTTGGAAGAACAATATTTTCTGAGTAATAATTAAAATTTTGCACAACATTTTATATATTCGTGTTCACTCTTATATGGTAAATACGTAGTTGACTTTGCGGGATGTGTAGACATATCAGTTGGAAACAAGAGCAATTGCCACCAGTCCAGCGCCATTTATTTTCCGCGGTCAAGACTGGTAGGTATACAGAGATTCTAATCACAGCCGGGAGATTTGCGTCGACCAAACCGAAGTCAACGCCAGGCGGTTGCTGCTACTGCAACTAGGATCAAATATGCTCTCGAAATTACAGCGCAACAAAAGCCCTTCTCGCGCGATAACGTCAACGGCGCCCTTTCCCTCCCCCCACCTACCCCCCACCCGCGCACGCACAAATTGGCTTCGAGCGGCTTGCAATCTCGTGGGGTGCTCGGAAACCTCCCCGCCCCCCCTACGCAAGACGGCGAGGCAGAGAAACGGACGGGAGGACGAAAGTGAACATGTATGCGTGAGGTGGTATTACAAAAAAAATTGTAAAAGGACAAGTATTTGAAAGGTAATTTGAAGAAATAAAGGGGAATTAATGCTTTGAACTATTATAGTTATTTACGATAGTAGTGTCGTAATACGTTTGATTACACTACAAGATTGGAAAACTGCTAAACGAGTCCGTTAAAACGAGTTTGGTAACCAATTGAGTATTGTAATCAAATGTTACGACACGAATATCGTGCAACGTTTTATCCACTTCGTAAAAATTTGTTAGGTTTAAGATTAAAATTTTCATTTAGTATTCACATTTTTCTCCTATAAGTGGCAACACTGTTCTTGACAAGGAGAACTGAAACGCCCATGGTGTACACATTTCGACAACATGAGCAGTTCAGGCTCACAAATAGAAATAGCAGCAAATGCTGCTATAGATTCTTTGTTACCATACAAATCAAAGAAATATGAGCGTGAGTACTCAATTTTTAAGGATTGGTGTGGAAACAAAAACGTTCATTGCATATCAGAAAAATTTTTAATGGTTACTTTTCTGGCAAGTCAGAAAAGGAAAAACCGAGTAGTCTTTGTACCCACTTTTCAATGTTGAAGAGTACTTTAGTAGTTAAGGATAATATTGATATAAGTAAGTTTACCCAGTTGTTAGCATTTTTAAAAAGGAAAAGTGAAAGATATAAAACAAAAAAGTCAAAGATATTTTCAAAAGAAGACATACATAAATTTTTAATAGAAGCTGATGATGATAATTATTTGTTGAAGGTGACCGTAATAATTGGTACATTCGGCGTTTGCCGTAGAGATGAGTTAAAGAATCTTGAAATAAGTGATATAGAGGATAGACAAACATGTATTTTAATTAATATACCAAACAGTAAGACTTAAATTGCGACAGAATTTGTAATTAGTGAAGGGAATATTAAAGAATTTAACTGTTTAGAAACATTTCGTAAATATTTTCGTCTTTGGCCTGTAAGTGTAAAGCACGATCGTTTCTTTGTATTTTACACAAATGGATAATGTACTTGCCAACCTGTTGGATTAAATACTTTTGGAGGCATTCCGAAGCTAATAGCAAAGTATCTTGGTTTGCAGAACCCTGAAAGATTTACAGGACATTGTTTTCGGCGATCGTCCGCTTCATTACTAGCAA